GCATCAAATAAAACTAATTAATACCTTTGGAATTGTAATAAATTGTGCAATAAATGGGCAAAAAGGGATTACTGTCTATACTAATTTTAATTCTGATGTTAAGTATCCGAAATTTACCACTGGTAAATTTCAATTTCATGGTAAAAACACATAAAGTCTGAAAATCTTTAGTCTTATTTATAACAAAGAATGCTTCATTGATGGCGTTGGATTTGTGTTCTTAAATGCTGCTTGAATGCGAATCTCTTATACCACCATACTGGTTCCTGCTAAAGTCATAAGTGTTGTAGCTGTTCATTTTGTGAGGATTAATGGCATAAAATAAATTAAACTCTAACATGAGATGGCAGATGCTTGAGATTTCGAAATAATAAATGTCCTATTTCTAACTCATTCCATTTAAATATTCTCCATAATAATTAGACTAATTTACTTTATTCATATTATGAATGGACTCAGAATTCCACTTCCTGGAAATTACGTCTACTGACCAATGCCTTCGTCAATCTGATTTCAACACGGCTGTTTTGGTAATCCCTTTTCTTCAGTCGACCCAACTTTCTGTCCCTCAACCATTGACGGGATAAATTTACACTATGTTATGTCTTAAAAAGCACATTCATCAATTCCCCGCAGAAGTATGTCGACTGCTTTGTTTCAGCATCTATTTTTAAGCAAAAATGATTCGATGGTAGATATTGATAAATTTTCCCCATTGGCACCTAGAATTCCATTCCGAATAGTTCAAGGAAATCATTAACTATTACCAAAAATGTCATTTGAACCTTGAGGCCACTTTAAGTAGTTTATCTTTACCTTAGATTTTCCACCACTTACATCAAACTCCTTAAGTGGCACACTAGCAGAACTTCTTTGGTACCAAATCACAGAAATCGCTAAAATTTAGTATGTTTTACTGGGACTTCTATTACCTTAAGTGCTAACTCCTAATTTGCAACAATGTCTCACAAAAACCATGAACAATTTCTGACCATCATTTCTTTACTGAAATGAATGTGTGTTTTTTAAGCGTAGTGACCCGTATAAATCTAACTGGTGCCTAACGACACACAATTTGACTCAAGCCACTGCGTGGAGTCCATTGCTATAATCTTGTGAGGATTTGTGGTTGGTTGCGTCTCCTACACCGCAATTAAAAATATTTGCAAAGAGCTCACATGAAATCGGGTGGGTTTACAACTAGAAATCCTTTACTTCTGGCATTGCAGCAAAGCTAGCCATCACCAGGTCACGTTGCCTGCATGGTGTCCGTTGCCATAATCCATACTGAAGCACTCATTTTAACAAGCCCAGTCATGAAGCTTGTACGACAAATATTCTTGACATTTTCTTGAACATATTCAATTTTTTACAGGAACAAAGCCTGTTTCCTGGACACAACGTCAGAGGAAGTGCTTCCACATCTGATCAAGCGGCCTCTTTTTTAAATCATTTCTAAGTAAACCGCCCTTGTGAGGTTGCGCTGCATTTTCATTCGGCAAAGTGCATTTTCACAGGAACCACCACGAACAGTGATGGTCGGTAACCTCAGCAAAACTCGTCAGCACAATTTTCCTGTGCGATGTTCCTGTTGATTCAGGCGTAAACGAAAATGAAAGATGCAAATTGCCTACTGACCTGTTTGCGTTTGAGAAATGAGAGTAATACTTGGTCACCCTGACGCGACATCCATAAAGACCTCCACTCTTCCTGAAGCAGACAGAGCAAAGACAAGGCGAGAAAAAGTTATGGTGTCGAGGCAGGTTAAATCTCCGCAGATTGCCTGCTTCTGACTAATCTTAGCCAATAGTCATGTTTGACGATTTATCAGGGCTCACACATGACCAGGGTACGATAACACCTATTCCCAATGCAATCCCATCCTTCCTAGATCAGAAACAGGCAAATTTCTTCATTTTAAATGCGTGACAGTCGTGTTCAGCATGAACACCTTTATATAACCATCGTGGATGCACTTGGCAGCTTTTAAAAATCGATAACACGTTCAGCCAATGACGTAAGTGAGTAGTCGAAATGCGTGCACAAAACGGTGTGCATGACAGATTCGCAATTTAAACTGCTAATTTGTATGCAGAGTTTTAAGAAATTCAGACTACCCAGCATCATCCAGGTAGGCTTAATTTAATTTGAATAAAGTTGTTTTGTGGTGAAATCAAAGGCCAGAGAATGCAACATAAACGAGTTATGTGTAGATAACAGCAGATTATAATCTAACATTTAGACCCCCCGGAATTGAAAAACACCAAAGACAATCCGAAATATTCGAATTATCCTAAATAATAAATATTACGACAATAAGTAGAGTTAACGGTAGATGCATATAACAAATATGGACGCTTGCCCTTAGTGGATAATTTGAATGGTGTACCCAAGGGACCAGTACAGTAAAACAAAGAGTAAATCCAAACTAAGCCTTAAATTTTACACCACGCGCTTAATGGTGTCGGCTCTGGGTGCCAAGGCGGAAGGCACAACACAGACGCAGGACCAAACCAGACATAAACAAGTGCTGTATTCTTGCTCAAACCGCGTAAAAAATGCATCATTTCAGGCAAGAAGATCTCGCTACGTGACGTGCGATTTTTTGCTCTTATACACTCTGAAAAGGTCTATAAGAATCTGTTTTGACGCAGGCCGAACCATTTGCCCAAGCCACCCAGGTCTAGTAATTACCCTTTAAGGACTAAAAGTACATGGGCTGCCATCACCAACGCCGTTGTTTACTCTCGTGGGTTGCACTTTAATATTCTGATCCCGAAAACAGTAGGGTTGTTGTGTTTTGAAAATAAACACGCTCTAATACTGCACTGCCTTCAACGATGACAACGTCGAATAATAATCCTCCTGGTTATCGGCAACATTAGAATGACTTCGTGCGATGTTGACGTCACAATAATTTGAAATATTCGCTTCGTAGCAGATCTTAAATGCCATCAAAAATAGGCATTACCTGCACTGTTTGCGTGTGAATGAAAGCAAGATTTCGAAAATGAATGCTTCATGAAATAACCGAAGTGTTAACATTAAATCGACTTTTTGCATGTTAGCAGATTCTGAAGTCGTTAAGTTGATATGGCTGTTGAAGTAAAAAAAATGTAGTCACACTAAAAAAACACTATTTTTTAGAATACCTCCTAATTTTTGCATCTTACGAAAATTTCCTTCATTCAGGATTAATCGGCTATACTTTAAAATAAACAGTATAATTTTCGTGATATGGACTTCTAAACTTACCTGCTTGTCTAAAATACTCTCAGTACTTGAGTAGATTTTTGATTAACCCAACAGAACGATACAATTTTAGGGGTTCAAATTGTTGTGAAGACGCAGCTGGTTTGGCCTACGTTACGTATTGACGAATCAAGACAGTTTGAGTCTAGGTGTGGGAAGAGGGACCGACTGATACTGCCTTTCCGTTAACGACCCCGATTCAGTCATCTCACTTAAAATTTCAACCGAAAATACAGACATGTCCTAAGGCTGTCTGAAATCTCTGTCAAATTTTGAATATTTTGGTGGAAATTGGCACTCCTCTGTAATCACAATTGTCATTGGCTTGAACGCTGGAATGCAAAAGCATCCTTAGCCTCTAGCCCTACCGTCTGAAGAGAATTTGAATCAATCAAATACCTCTACAAACCAGGATCCTGGAAGGTTTCTGGTGAACGAGCTAAATGGTGCTTGTCTGAGTCCACGTAAGAAGCAAGGGTTTCCGCCTTGTCGGATTGTCAAGGTAAAACGAGCCCTACGGCCCGGAGTAGCTACCCACGACAAGAAGTTTTGGTGTGTGGTACTCATTGAGTTATATTTCCTTTACTCACCCAAAAGTGACACGGAATCAAAAATCGATTTTTTACTGAAAAAATGTGCATGTTTTTCAAGGTAGATTTATTATTTTGAATACGCTCACTCTAGTAACAGCATCGACTTCTAAAAAACATGCAGAGTAGGACCGATCGATTTAACTGATATTGGATTTAATTAATACGCTCCTGAGATAAATAAGACGGATCTTGGAGAAGCCTCTTTCATAGGCGAAATCAGATATACTTGTGTTCCTTGTTACCTGCTATGTTGATGCGAATTCCTGGACTAAAAGTTGGAATCCCTTGTCTGGCACCTCGAAGGCTTCCAAGAAGAAGGCAAGACTACAGCTTGTGAAGAGGGCTTCGCTGACTGGAGCAAAGGTTCTAGCACACGACGGGACTTAACTATGGAAGTTGAATGAATGCTCAGACGTGTCTGGGTGATCTGGGATCGAATTGGTTGAGTAATTAACCCTGAGCGGTGAGTTTATTCACACCCCTTAACCAGGTCACTCCACCTCCGACATAGGGTTCCCCTTTTCGCAGCATGTCGCCAGCCGCGCGGATTCTCAACTCTCCCCTCATTTGCACTAATATTTATCTTTGATTATCCTATCACCCAGGTCTCGATGTTAGCGTATGTATGACTCCACATCCGAGGTATAAATACATACGCGCAAAAACCACACACGACACGACGACACCAACGTGGTTGAGCTCGAGAGTAAACGGTTGTATCCACGTACTCTCCGATCTTTTTCTCCATCGCGGATATCAGGGAAACGTAATCGGGCCAGGGTTAATTCCGTGGCCCCGGAGTGGTTCAGGACCACATGTTGAGGTCCACGACAAGTTGACGGTGTTAACAACCATGTGGCATGACAGTCGAGAGCTCAGTAAACTAACGTCAAAAATCACCGTGTTAATTAAGCTATCTTGGGGAATGTTGTCGCTAGAATTTGACAGCATTTTGTCAATCCTTGTTAGTTTTTTTCTGACTAACACACAAGCGAGTCAACTAAATGTCGCATTTTCTTCCAGGGGAATAAAGTGACAATAAAGGGTGGTGTAGGTGCCATGGAATTATGCTGCATAACTTCATGCATGCTTGGAAGTTTGCACTCATTTTTTACTGCTATTTCACTGTCACCTTTCCCAGTACAAGTGGGATACTAAAACTGGAAAACACGTCAGCCTTGAACTTTATAAACTGCTTTGCAGAATTAATGTTCCCCGATTCAATTTAGAAAATAACTTAGCAGTCGTAAGCGTCCATACGGTATTGGTGACTGATAAGTTTTCGATTCCATTGAAGGTAATATTTTGACCGGCTCTCCTTCAACGGAGAAAATTACATTATGAAAAAAAAAATATAATGCAACACATGCTACTTATTTCAATTATAATTCCTCCTGTTAATAATCGTATTTAAATTGCATGTGGGACAAAACTTTCACAGTCTCGCACAAGGATACTCGATGAAGTCTAGGGAACACTTGTCATTCCATCAAAGTTGTTCCTCGTGTTCGGAGCTGCCTAGTAACCACCGCAGTGGTAAAGATATCTTGGATTGTGAGTTTAGAGGTCATTCTGATGGAGAGCGTTTTTTTCGCTTGACTTCGAAGTTGATGATGATCAGGATAGCAGCATTCGTCCAGGTCCGTTCTTCCTGGCGCAGTCACCAAATCGTTGTGTGTAGGTTTTAATTAGTGTTGTTACTTTTTTTGCGTGATACGAGACTATTGGGTAACGAATATGTGACACTGTGGAAGCTGCAGTGCTAAACGCACAGTTATTTTACCGTTGATCACGAAATAATGCGTTTGTGTTTAAACTAAGTTGCTGTGTTTCACAGTCACCTTAATAACAACGATTTTTGTGGCTTATAATTCAAGTCCAACACATCGCACTGTTGGAGACGTCAGCATTCCTCAAAGACAGCTTCATTAACACTGTGACTTGCGACGTCTGCTCACCGAAAGCTGTCCACTTGATTACAGCTCTACCGTCTAGCAATATCTTTGTTCACACCATCAGTATTGATTTTTCAACTCATCGATCGCATCTGAGCATCGACTCGACGTCCTCTCATTTGGTCCCATCTTGTGCTCGAACCTTTTCTCCAGACAGTGAAGCCCTCCTCACAAGCTGTAGTCTCGTCTTCTTCTTGGAAGCCTTCGACGTACCAGACAAGGGGTTCCAACTATTTGCTCGGGAAGTTGAATCTCCAAGCCAGATAAAAACGCAGCACTCTCGTAGTTGTTTTAATCTTTCAATGCCATCAACAGGACCGGAACTCCCATGCTTTCAACCAACTAGAACCGTGAGAGTACAAGACCATGGATTTAGCGTGACTAATGTACTAAAATGACTTTCCACAATGACTGTATTTCGGACTACCGTGCAATATTTGCTGTGGTTTCGCTAACATTCAGGCGTCAGAAACTCCTTGATGACGTCGACTATTGGCACGAAAAATAAACGTAGATTATTCGAGACAATTTGAGCTCCAAACTCAATAATCTTTGCCTGCTAAAACCCATAAAATGCCGCATTTGCGTAAGTTCACTTAAGCTAAGCGCCTTTTGCAGAATTTGTCGTACTGTTTGTCGTGACAGGAACAGCTGAAACCATAAAACTTATTCTTTTGTGTTTTATTAATGATATAAGACAGTTCGGCGTAGGGGAGATTATAGACAATGGAATATAAGCCGTCGTGCCACGGACGGTAGCTTTTTGGACTGGACTTGTGACAAACTAAGCATGTCAGAATGTCGGTGATAATACAGGTGTGCTGTTCAGTCATGACAAGCGTCACAATCCACAAGAAATGCGTCTTAATAAACGGCGGACTCAAGACGAGAGTTGTCGTAGAAAAATACGTTTGAGGTAGATAAGCCTTAAAATCAGCGACGGGGTCGCCTAATGTTTTTGGTGAACGGGTGTGTTTGTGGTGTGTGCAAGTGGGGAGGTTGACGATAGTTGTCTGTGCGTGTGGGTGCGTTTGTGGACTTGTGACAGGATCCGTGGGGAAGAATACGGAGATGCGACAAAGCACATCGTTGGCGGCCGGTCTACCTAAAGTTGCCGTATTGATTCGAATAGTTGCCGACAACAGGTGGCAGTGTCCGGGGCACCGAAGGCTATCCCAATTGAGTCGAACTAGAACAATGCAAAATCAATGGCTAGTTTGACAATAGGGCATTCGGTGTTGCATAAATCGATTTACAATATACGTCAGGAGATCAAAATTCCGACTTAAATTTGCACAGCTACTTATGGCGATGAAAAAAGGTGGGTTTAAGTTAAATAAAACGGCATGACAACGTGATAAAGTCGATTTAAGGCGAAAACGGTTTGCTGTCGTCTGGTTGGTGGCGACGCACGAACACGGAAGTATGGGCCCAAGCTTACAAGCGCATGCATAAAACGTTTGTTTGGAGAGCCTGGTGTTAGGACCGGCGTTAACAGACAGTCTGTGTTTGAGGGCACATGCGTCAGACACGCCGACGTGTCTGTCATAGCTGCTAAAGTCACCAAGAGACGTGTTTGCACCTAGTCCTCCGAATCGCGCCACAATAAAGAGAAAGCGAGGGGGTGGGGAAAGGGGATAAGGAGGAAAACCGACTAGCGTCTCAGGCAAACAGCCAATCGGTGCGACGCCTACCCCTCGTGCCTCACAGACAAGTCAAAAGACCACCCATGTTCCTCACAGTGGATTGATGTGGAGGCGGTGAAGACGCAAGACAGTCTGCCAATCGTGACAGCGGCGTTCTCCTTCTTCTTTTCCTTCTTTTCACTCGAGATGAGCGATTGGGATAGAGGGGGCGTGTGACGTAATTAATGCAAGCAAAACCCTCGTCCTATGGGAAAATCCGCAAGCCGACCACCCTAATTCCGTTCGCTCAACATGGTATATTAAAAAAACCTGGCATTCGGGAGTAGCTTTGATGATAAGATCTGCGTTTTCGAGACCAATCAAGGGTGCGCAAGCACCGTTTTTATGCCCAGGGCATAATTTTTTTGATGAGGCCGTGTGTCACTGAGCCCCTGTGGAACGTGTTCACAAAACACCCAGAGGCCGCCGCCCTTCGTCGTAAAATTTATTAGTATCATTCGTGCTGCCGCCGCTGCCGCCACCACCGCCACGACATTTCGAATCAAAAGTGGTGCGCGTGCACGGAGTCGTCGTCGTCGTCCTCGTCGTCGCCGTAGCTGCTGCTGCCGCCGCCGCCGCCGCCGACTGATGGATTGGCGCGTGGGTGCGTGCGCACAGGCATCCGCCATCTCTTCCCAAACATGCTTTTGATCTGCGCATTCACACACACACACACAAAGCGAAGGACCGCCACGATTAGGCAACTTTTACAACTGCCGCTGTCGCGTGCGCCTCTACGACGCACAAGGAAAAGAAGCCGTACATGCACACCGACATAAGAGCCGCTCGTGTCGCTTGTGCAGTGCACGAAGGACGGCAGTGGCAGGCAACGGCCACGTTTACTCTTGAAACTATTTATGACAACGCTGCGAAGAAATCACGCATGATGCCTCGCGTCTTCGCTCAGCAGTGTGACTTAACCGAGACGCCTCAAACCTTAACCTTAACGGTCAGCTTTTTGAGTCCTGTGGCGCAGGCATTGAGTACACGAAACGACACAGTTTGGATCCCTCCTTGGGGATTTTGAAAAAAAGTACATTTACAGGATTAATGGGAAGAACCGAGTGTGGTGTTAAACATGTGTATTGATGCATGTACTCCCACCTAATAAAAACAGCAATCATCCCTTTAGTTGGTTAGTAGTTGTGAACCTCAATAATTGTGAGCATGGGTGTGATGTTCCACACGCGTATACCATTGAGGTCCTTCGGATGCCACTAACGCATGTGCCTGCACACCGGTTCACGTTATTGGAGCGCAAAGGATGAAAGACGTGCGCTGACAAAGCAGCCGATCCGCCGAGTAATAAAAAGCACGTATGGGTGTGTGCGTGTGTGCGTACAAATATATATGTGTATACACATATATATTTGTGTGTGTACAGGGTCCGCGGTAAATTTTTACTCCTCCTCCTCCTCCTCCTTTTCCAGCAGTATAATAAAACCGGTGTCGGCTTCAGAATAAAGGGTGATGTAAACCGGTTCGAAATGAGCTCCTTCCCTTGCGCAAGAGTGCGTACGCGCACGCGCGTTTTTTCTCTGCAAGCCGACGGAGCTAAGGGAGTGCAGGGGCTGGGAGAATGTACTGCGGGCCGGTGTCATTAGAGGGAGAGCGGCAGAAATCGGATATGGTTGGTGGTGGCGGCGGCAAGTGTTTATGGATGCCCACATACACGCACTAACGTACGCATGCGCGCGCGCGCACCCACGCATGCACAGAGATTATGCTCTCTCGAGCCTTTTGGGTCCAAACACACAAACGGATTCCGCCGCCACCGCCGCCGAGGTGGTACTTCACTCTGTACACACACACACACACACGCACTGACTACCGAAGCGACTTCAAATGGCCCGTCATTATAAGGGAGGATGAAAGGCGAGGTCGCCGACAAAGCGCTCTGCCGACGAGGCCTAATGCGTGCACGCAGGGAAGGCAGAGGAGGGGGGCATGCAGCCTGCTGGTTTTTTTGCAGTCTTGGTGAAAGAAAGGCTCTTCGGCGGGACCAGCCGCTGGAAACTCAACTACACACCCATTTTCCCGAGACTGGTCCACAAATCTCGGGCAGGGCTTCGCCACAAGTGGGTAAAGTCATCGTCAAGTAGATCCACAGCTGACCCTTCAAATCTTCTCGCACCGGTGCAAGCACTGGCAAAGCTCCAAAGAACGCCATTGACGTGAATCTGCCAGTCAAGACTTCGGTGCAATGTTAATGAGGAATGCGAGGGAAATTAGCCATAGCTTTTGCGGTTGCTCTCACCGTATTCTATTGGGATATTTGGTTTGCGTACGCAAAATGTACAAGGATTGTATACTAGCCTTTCATCGGGTCAGTTTTCATTGGGGTGCAGTGGATTAACAGCTATCGCGCCTGAGTGAACCCTGCTTACTGACCCGACGGTGACAGTGACTCATCCTTTTTTCATTGGCTGCTGTTATCGGACGCCTGTCATTCGTTCACTCATCCACGCACTTGGCTGGCGTGACGCTAATAAACGGTCGTGTCCTCTGTCGTCTCTCTTCACTCCATTCTCGAATTGTTACGGGCTGCTAACTAGAGGGTTGTAAGGTAGTGCTAGACCACAAGCTACTACAGACCGGCAAAATGTTTTTTGGAAATTGTCTTGTCAAGTCATAAATTATGGTAAGTAGTCGCGTAGTAAAACGCCAAAGTCGTGTGAGTGAAAGAATTAAAACGATGCGACAGAAACCTCCGCCAAGTTCTGATTCATTAAACCACGATTTCCGGAAGATGAGTCAGAAGGTGGCAATAGACAGGCAGACGAGTTTAAAGCAAACCCGCAGATGCTTCACCTCAGAATATGATTGGAAGGAATAACAGAGTTGAGTTGTGTATTCAGTCGTCGAATACGTGTGTGCGGTTGCCGCAATGATGCCAAGAAGAGGCTTTTAAAAATAAAACATGAACTGACTTTTCTTAAAAGGCCAGTGGAACAGTCCGTGGTCAACCAAGTTTGGTAGCCACCTCGGGTCTATCACGGAAACACTAATGCTCATTGTTACGAACTAAATAGAAGCACAGATTATCTTTCAAAGAGCGGCAAGAGGTTAGAGCCACGAGGTTAGCCAACAAATAGATTCATGAACTTTAAAGGAATCACGAGAGAATGAAGCTTGGTGTTTATCGGGCATTGATTGCAAAAAGAAAGCATTTCGCGAAATGCCCTCTTTCAATCCCCAGTGGGTGGGAATTCCTCGCTGGAGGAGAATTTTCCCTGAAGAAAACTCGTTAAAACAACGACAAATTGCATCTGCGGATCCGGCGATGAAATCACACGAAGTCAAATTATTGAGGCACATGATTGCTCCAAAGATATTTGCCACTGACGTCTTCTGACACGTCCACAACGAGGAATTGGTTGAAAGCACGCCAAGACGTCGGGTCTTAGTGGCTTAAAGGGTGAGATCTTCAAACGTGACCCCGAAAATGAGGGTAGTTAAATAAATTGGACGAACGCAAGTGGAGTTGCGTGCGTGCGTGCGTGTGCGCGTGCGTAGTGCCTCCACGTACGCAAACGCCCTCAAATGGCCATGGTCCACCGCTATTTGTGGTCGGCTAAAGATCAAAGTGTGTGCTGTGTGTGTGCTTTTGGACGCCGGCGATGTCACGATCCCACTAACAACGGCGGTGCGTGTCTTAATTCATAAAACAGGGGTGTGTGAGCGCGCGAAAAGTACCGCCAATTTAGTGTTATTTCTGTCCGCTCACATTAACCGCGGCGGTGGCGGCGGCAGCGGCGGCGGCAACAGAAATTATGACCGCCTTTGAACAGCACAATGCAAAGGGCTTTGGGTACCTGGGCAAGTCAACAACACAACGACTCAAATGAACACTTTTCCCTGGAAAAACGAACCCGCATAGGACAGTAAAGCACTCAAACCAATGAAGGCATCATGCTTAAATTTTCCTTTGGTGCATATGAATTCGGTCATCTTCGGAGCGGAAAAGAGCGCAAATTGTGTTCTTCGATGTTTACTCTTATAAGCTACATGCAATCCATATGATATGTGTGTTTGAAAATTACAGTTAACGAGAACTTAGCTCGAAACTGGCAATTTTCACGACAGAAAAAGAACCCCATGTTCATGCAGCGTTAGTGTTGAAATTGCAACGTACAAATGAAATAAGTTTTGGAAATAATCTATAAGGAAGAGGCGAGAGGACACCACGAATATTCGGAGCTAAATTCAAGGATTAATAAAGGCGAAATCAATTCCTGGATGATTTGTCGTGAAGGTCTGCTAGCAAAAGGCTAGAGTGTGATTATCGAAGTATTTAACGTGCGAAAGAACTTGGGCGAATATGGGCGATGGAAAGAGCGGGTGATTATATGAAAAACAGAACCGCTAGTCAAGCAGCCGACCGACCGACCGACCGAATTTGCAAACAATGAGGAAGGAATGCTCTCGGAGTGCACTGCGATTCGGAATGCGTTAATACACGCATGACTGCGCACCGACACACACACACAGGACGAAACGCCTTATCCCCTCTCCCACACTCACCGCCACACGCTTTGTGGAAGGAGGAACGATGAGGTCGAGATGAAAACACTTTGCGGCAAGCAAAAACCACCAGCCCGACCGAGATGCCCGGAATTAGCCCCAACAGACACACACACACACACACGAAGGGGCATGCAACACGGCATTTCGGACAAGGGAGTATAAGAAGCAGTGCGGTGGAGAAAGTCGCTGCGGTCCGTAAAATTGCCTCGGCTAGAAAATTAACAATCCTCGAGGCCTTGAAATTCTAGGCGAGTGGAAATCATGCACGCGTGATGGCCTGGGGCACCAGACATCAATTTATCCGAAACTGCGTAGGAGAGAGGCTAAGAAAACAGCAGGGTTGGAGCACCGTGTCAAATTATAGGGTTTTTGAGTCTCCGTCTAAACAATTCAACTGGACTAAAGCAAAAGAAAACTGAAACATGATGGCGAATCACACTTAAATTCCGGAAAATCCATTGGTTTCTTTTTTAATGCGAATTGTTCAATGTGACAAGGCGTGGTTTTCTCGAGGCCTATTTTTTCGTGGAGGGTAAAAGTCGAGGTTCAAGATTGGAAAATACAATTCATAAATTACAGATAGTAATTGCAATTTCACCTCAGTGGTTGGCACAACTCCGTTTTAACTGTCTCCGACTTTACCCCTAGCCCCACGAATGTCTGACGAAGAGCACACCTAGGGCAAATGATCATCTTTCCGCTAGAGAATTGCCTTTTTACCAAAGTTTAATCAGGCCAACAGGGCTAACACTTCATCGAAAAACTGCCCCCTTGTGTTAATACCCCTTTAAAATTGACCCCAACAAGGTAAATTGTGATCACACACCAGGACTTAGATTTCCCTTTTAATCAACCTAAACTTGTTCACCGAAAACCTCAGCTATCATCTAAACATATTGTTTTCAAAATATAAAAATGAACGGAATCAAGTGATGTGGAAAGCAAAACGTTGATTTAACACCTGCCGTTCAAGTGAGCGGTTGCAAGAGGCGGAGCAGTACTTGACAATTAAACAACCCCGGCGAATGATGTCAATATTTTAAGATCGTGGTTTGCTCAAATTCTCAGGCAGAATTAGTGGTTGGTGCAACCGAGGGAATGGTAAAGACGATTAGTAGATGTGGCACGTGGGTGCCGGGGTTTAACCCTAAAGAGGAGGAGGCAAGTAAAGCGTCAGAGTCGGCGATAAATGAGTGAAAGGCGGTGGCAACATTCGAGCGGCAAATTTTGACACGCCGCACCAAAAAGTCACCGTTTTTTCATCACTCCCTGTGTGTGTGCTGCTGCTGTCACATAGCAGGAGCTGTTACTTCGACTGCTGCTGCTGTTGCTGTTCCTGACGAAAAACCCGAGCGCCAGAGGCTGTGGAAAAGCTGTTCCTCGCTCACCTTGGGCGCTAGTGTGAAGACAAGGAAATTTGTCAATTCTAGGCGCGCGATTGGCGCTGTAGTGTCAGCTAAACAGGTGTTTTAGATTTTGAAATCAGTTGAGAAAGTAGAGGGAAATTGCACGGCCATGAAGATGTCGGTGGCACCTACTCGATTTTGGCAGGAGGATAGAATTTAACCGATCAAATGGAAGATCCATTTGCAGTTTTTTGTGACCTTTGTAGGAGCCAATTTAAGGTTTAATCCTCAAGCAGATTCATCAAGAAGCAATTGCATTGAGCGAGATGTCTAACCGAGATCTGTTTATAAAACCGATTGTTGAGGTTACCTGTTTCTTTTCCAAAGTAAATTTGATTAAGATTTGAACAATTTTTGGCCAGTGAAGTGAAATAACACAGTAGTAAATTGCTCTGTCGGAGTTAACTGATTCGAGACATAGGATATTTGCACGTAAACGCTGTTTGCTGCCTACCACTTTAAAACCTCAGCGTTTTTTGGAGCAGAACACGAATCACAACGAAGACATTAAGGTTGAAAAGATTTGTACCACAAAGTTGGTGCTTCAATGCTGGTTTGAGCTTTAGCTCTACTCCCTCTTGCAGTACTGACTTAGAAAATTATGTGTACTAAATTGTCCAAATGAAAAGAACCTGAAGTGACTATTATACAAAATCTTTCATAATTGACAACCAATTGGTTGGTTTACCAAAATCCAGCAAGTACTTAGTGAAACGACTGAACTGCGTCACTTGTTCTAAAAGTAAAAGTGAAAATACCGACTGATCGGTAGGAGTTAGGGGTATTTTCGGAAATCCTTTGAACCATTTTCTGTTCGCGTTTCTTATTGGTCTTCGGTGATGAAGGCGAGGAAGAAAGGGCGGCAGAGGGAGCAGGGAGATAGCGGACAAGGTGACTGAAAAACAATGACAGTCACGGCGTGGAGGGGTAGGGGAGTGCAAGAGGCTCAACAAACTCGCATGGTGAAATCAAAGAACGCCAGACACAGCTTTAATCGGCCCGCGCCTCCGCTCTGGGGTAGAACATCCGCTGCAGGTACAGACGTACACGCGCGGCTTCTGTTTCATGTTTGTGCATAAACAGGCCTCTTCTACAAGGCGGGCTTTAACGAGGAAAAGTCAACTTGCGCATCTCCTGCCTCTGGACTTCATGAAAACCTAGATTTTACACGGCTAGTAGACGCCTTCCGCACAGGCATTTACTCCCGTTTCGCTGTTATGGCACTAGGGCGCGCTAGGAGCAAATTTCCCATTGTCTCTACACTTCATTGCATCCTGAACACTCTTCTAAGCGTTGCAGGCGTCAAAAAAGATTCCAGTTTGCGAATACCGCACCTGTGGCTTCATTCGGGGTTAGGAGGGCGTCGGTGCCGAACGAAGACCTAATTAACACGTGCGTGGCAAAAAAAACAACACACAAGGCGTCTCTGAAGGGCGTCGGCTGGAGGTGCTAGTCTAACTGGGGGCTGTGTACCACATAGGCGAAAAACAACGCGTTCTGCAAACGCATGCACTCACACGCGGTGTAAGGTATAACCTTTCATGCCTTTGAAGACAAGTGACGCAAATGGCCAGGAGGTGCACAGACGCCATCTGGAGGACTAGAATGGTGTTATAACCGCTGATTTCCTTTCACCGACGTGTGTAATTTGCTTAACGTAGCCGTTGCATTCTGGCCCGTTTTGTCTATAACCGCCTGAGCACAGTTTCACCGGTGTAAATGCCCTTAGTTCCATGGGTTTCAAAATCGATGTTTTGAACTGGGGTTAAAGACAATTGGATTTCCACATTGCACAAAACTTTGAACACTTTGAAGGGAGCACTTAAAGTTTTACTTGGGCTACGGCGTAATACACAGTTACCTAAGGTGCCGAGTAACATGAACAGAACACCAAACAAATTTCGGGGCTTTCTTTGCTAGTAGTGTGTCATCGTCAGTGGACGTGAAAATGATGTTGAATTGTATCCAGTTTTGACAAAGTGAACTAAGTCAATTTCAAATTTGAACGACGAAGGGAAATATAGTAGGAGGAGGAGGAGGAGGAGGGGAACATAACCTATGGCCGCCCTGCTACGAGAACATCTAGCCAATGGTGTCGACCTCCAGAACCTCCAACCACAACCGCTTCGATTCCTTCTACAACGCTGATAGCACATAGAGCAATAAACCACAGTGTTATGCCTGCCATCCATCCATCGTCCATTTCAGGAGAATTGTGCAATCGACTTGAATGGTTTATTTTGAAAATCAGTCATCATCGGGAACAAAGAAGATGGAGTAGGGGAGGAGGGAGAAGGACTCGGCTTTCATTTGAGCATAAAAGGGAATTTCAAGACGAGAAGGAAGGTGATGAGGTAATTTTGGACTTGAACCGCGTTAATAAGATGCACACCGGTGATAAGTTATGAATTTTACGTGGCAGCATTGACTTGACAGGAACTTGCTGCTTCTGTTGATGTCGGAACGTCGTTTAGGCATATTTTCGGCATTTGTGGTTAATGTTGAATGACACACTAGTCGAAAATGCGTTGGTAATGGGTTGAAAGACAACACAAAGGCACAAAAAGTTGTGGGAGGACCAAATTAACTGAGAACGAATGTCAAACCTAAACCAGACTTGTTCGTTGGTTTGCCAACATTATCTTATCAGCCTGGTGATAAACCCACTAATACCAAATTACTCGCCATGGTAACAGATTACGCGTTCATCCAAATAGCTGCGCTGTCTTGTCTACTCGTAAGCTCAAAATTAATTCCCACTGTTGAAAAGCCAGATCACGATGCATATTATAGAGTTTAGATAAAACATGGCCAGAGCCGATACAGCTGCTGCAAAGCCACAAGGAATGTCGACAAAAACCTCAAACGCTTCTCCATTGCGCCTATTTTTCAGTTCATTTCCTCCACAGCGGAATTATTTTGGTTGCTTCTGTGTTCCACTGAACGCAATACTGGCAGTGCAAGCGGCATGAATCGTAAATGCGTCCGTGATTTTGGCAAAGTGATTTATGGTTACTTAAAAAACGAAACCGATTAAAGAGAAAAAAGTGGGATTCTTCACTACAATACAAATAAAACACAGCGCGTAGCACTCGATTCGAAACGTGATTTTAATTAAATCTCCCTAGACTTTCTCCAAATCTCGTTACGTGCATGGTTTTAACAACGAACACCTGAACACAGACTTGTTTTTAGATCTGTGATTTGATAATTTCGTCGCCCCAGATATCTTTTACAGCCTGAAGCGCACTAGGAGGCACACATCTTCCACAAACCAATCGTGTCACCGTGAAATGGGCAGGTGGCAGTAATCGCTGTTTCATTTGTCCCACACATGCGATGGCCACAACTCTCCCAAATGCCTAGCCTACGACAATAAGCAGTGCGAGGGTGAAAGTTCAAATGGTACCAACTGTGTCCTGCTGTTGGCAGAGTGGGGTGTGGAGTGTTGAAATTTGTCAAAGTCTACTAGTGCCTAAATTAGATGTAGGAACAAAATGAGAGATTGCTGGCCATTGAGTGAACACCAGAGGTCACACCAACAATGTATCAAGAGAAGAGCAACCACGCAACGAAAGAAATCACAAGATCGAAGATCTGCCTGCATAATTACATCACTTTTCATCGTTTCAAATCGGGCGGTAAAGGGAGCATCGCATGATGAAAAGCACTGATCGTTGATCAGGTCAGAGATGAACTCCTTTTGATGTTTCCTCCTTGACGAAATAACCGCAATGTCACCTTACCATTGTCGAAAACATTACAAGAAAGATGAAATTGATGCAGCCTCAAAAACATCTGGTTGACACGACTGTTTTTCCTGTTATCAACCAAATTTTGCCGCCATTTGAGCTGCTTACCTTTTGTCACCAAGTTTCTTGAAAGTTTCGGTTCTATTTTAGCCTCAAGACCGGTTGGACAAATTCAAACTTTATGCTGGCCACATGGCTGACTTTGGCAAATATCACTGACAGGGGTTTTGGAATTGAACGGATAAGCATCGGTGGACACCAAGGCGCGAGAATGGGAGCAGCACTAGTTCACAGAAAACTAATTTAGTCACGTGACGCGGGGTCACCAGTGAACACAATTTACGAAATGTGGAATCGTTTGACAAACACCTCGGTAAAAGCTGGAGGTTTTCGGGCGAAACAACATCCACAGCTTGATGGAGCAGCAAGTGTGAGTCGTGCACAATGCCAGTGAACACATAGTTGATTGGTTGTGTCATTGAGCGTTGCTATTGGTAAATGACTTGTAGCCCAATCAAAACAAAGTACTGGTTTCGATTTGTTAACCTCGTCGACAACACAAAGCCGCAATTTCAGCATGCAGGAAGTGAATTTTATGGGTCGTCGTGGAACAAGTGTGGGAAGAAATGCCGCAAGTGGTGGTGGGGTTTTGCCTGTGATTATGGTCGCAGTTACAGAATAACAGGAACTCCAGAGAAACCGACTGGATTCCGCTATTAATGACAACGAAAGGAAATCTAGTCACCTGTGTGCGTATGGCTTTACGTCGGTTTGCCGGCACTTCGCAATGCCGCCAGAGCGATAACATCCGTTTCAGCGAATATATTAAAATAAGCTCCCTTGCCACCGCATTTCCCCGGCATCCGATACACTATTTTATTAAAAAAAACGTGCTACTTTATTACCAAAATGTACGACAACGCATATGTAAATGACACTTCAGCAGCGGACATTGCCAATTTCCCAAGATAAAGTCAGAATTCGTGTGTTTCTAAAAGGAAAGCACCACCTACGAAGGGTAATGGCTGATCCTTCCAAAAGGTTGTCTAGAAGTGGCAATCAGACGCCTATTCCCAATCGCCTCACATTCAGCACATTTAATCAAACTCGTGCCTACTTTAACTGAATCGCTTGCCGCGTTTTCGGACAAGTGGTGTGACAAAAATGTGCCATTGAGCACAAGAAGTTATCGTCTGACAGGTTCCCATCGTATCAAGGCTCAAGGAGCAAGCGGGTGTGACTTAGGAGTCAATCCGAGAATTATTAGCTGACCGATTTGGTAACTGATCTTGATTTTGTTGACTATATGGAATCATCAAAAGGGCTTCTGACGTCCCATCATCTGGCAGAAATAAGGAGAACACTTTTTTTCTACACAAAAAACTTTACAAATTTAGATATTTTGAATCCCGGAAAGCCGTAGGTGATGTTAGAGAATTCACACTACTTTTACAGCCATAGCTTCGTCAATTCTAAGATGTGTGACACTAAATTTTGCACACAATGTGACCAAACCAAAGTTCAGGAGTGGTAAAAGACCATTTTTAGTGAGTGGAGACCAGAGTTGATCACACCAACGGAAATACGCACCCTAAACCAGGCTCAAGATTTCTCGTAGTGGTTTTTAACTTAATGAAATAAACAAAATGAAAACAAGGAAAGAAATGTTTTTGTTCTACTTGTAGAATCGCTCATGGTTCGGCCTAGTTGATCGAAACAGATCCTGTGGCTACGAACACAGTTATCGGGCGTGGGCGGACACACTTCAATCGATACACCCGAGTGCGCTCCAGAAATCGATACTAACTGATCCTATATAAACTGATGACATTATCGCATCAATAAATCAGTTGATCTACGTGTTAACTGCAGTCTTTCCTCTCTATCTCTTTCTCTTGACTGAACCCTTTGAGAAGGTTGGACTTTGACGGGGGAAATTTATGTAACCGGATTCAGAAACTGTTAAAACAGAGTATATTGGTTGAATTGGCCAAGAAATTTTTCAACACCCCTTAAGGAAGACGTTTACTTCCTCTCGCTGGGGCAGAAGGCGATCTAAAAAGTGATTTTTTCAAAGGATTCTCAGTAAATGAATAATGGAGGTATTTTGAGTGCGATATTGATCTGCAACGTCGGTCGTAACCGATTCCAAAATGCATAGATTCGGATTACTTGAAACCTGCGGTAAAATCGAGCTTGCACACCAACCAACTCCACTCGTCTCTCAATAAAGGCAAAAATGGTTTCGCTTTTTCCCTGGGCTTTTTAGAGCTTGGAAAATTAGGACGGAGGGTGGTGGGATGGTGGGCGGGGGAAGGGGTTAGCAGGAGCTTTGGTCAAAAATGCGCATTCCCTTGTGGCTTGCGGCAACAGTTTCGTTTGTCGGGCAGCCAAATCTGCCCGAGGCACACTCGCCCAGTGATAAAACCTCATTTCCATTGCCGCTGCGCTCTCAGCATCAAAGTGAACAGCCACTTTGGTTGTCTTATCAGTGCTACAGCAACTTCCAGCATCACCGGCCACTTAAATTCCCGGCTTCGGGCATTGATTCAAAACGTCAAGAGTCGCGTTTTGCAGTTAACATACATAAACAGGCAAACACGATGCAAAACAGAGTAAACCTGTGTTCTCACATTTTCCCAGAATTGTTGTTACATTTCGCAACAGCCCTGCAATCAGTTGGTCTCTGTTTGTCAGTTGTGAATGGATGAAGTCAATGCCTGCAACGATGGACAATGGACTAGGCCACAGGAAATTGTGTTAGATGTAGAAGCTCTTTCATACTGTCACAAAACAGGACTGAGGTAGAATGAAAAGGATTGGGTTACATTTGTTTGGTCATTTTCACATCACAGTGCTGCATTCCAATTCACCCACCCACACACACACACATAGAGACGTAACGTAAAGGCCATAGAAAGGCATCTAAAATTACGTAATTGCTTTCATTACTTATGAGGCAATTAAAGGCGACAAAGCTGCATCTTGTTAAGCTTAATCACACCGGGAAAAAAACATTGTCCATATTATCTCCTGCGTCAGATTCCGCCAAACACAAAGGTAACTATTGATAGTAGGAGATGCAGATCCCTGGGCAAGTAGTTAGAACCTCTTGTCTGGTATGTCGAAAACTTCCAGGAAGACTACAGCTTATGAGGAGGGCTTCACTGTCTGAAGCAAAGGTTCGAGCACAAGATGGGACCAAATGCGGAGGTCGAGTCAACGCTCAGACGTGTCTGGACGATCTGAGATCAAATGGGTTGAGTAATTAACCCCGACCAATGACTTGATGGTGTTAACAGCGATGTGGCGTGGTAGCAGAGTTGTAATTAAGTAGACAAGTTAATTTGTAATCAAGTCACAGTGTTGACAAAGCTGTCTTGGTAAATGTGGACAACTCCAATAGGTATTGACGATTCAGCCAGAGCAAGACACAATTTTAAGGCCTTATACCAACGCCTAAAACCCTTCCAGCAAGTCGGGCTTGTGCAAAAAGTGAAAAAGGGCATTAAGGAGCCTCGAAAACGCTTCCAATCTGGAGATAATGGCAGTTGGTAGAGACCAGAGGGGTGCAGGGGTAGGGTGGGAATGAGAGAAAGATGGTTTTGCCGGTAGTTGGAGGTCCACGGGCAGCACTGAGGGTCAGTTGAGTGGGCAAAAAGCGGCTATCGCCGCCGCCGCCGCCGCCGTTTTTACCACCGACAGACACCACGGCATTTGTTCGGCTGTTCGGAGTCTGAAAAAACCGCATCACCGCCTTTTACGCTCAGACACTCCACACCAAACGGGAAAATTGCCACGCCGTACCAAATTAGTCCACTTTTTTTTTGCCTGCGAAACGGCACTAATCGATTGGCCTTTATTATTTGGAATGAACGCTTCGTTTTCTTTGATAATTGGATGAAGAGATTTGAGCTGTGATTGATGGCTCATGATTGGGTAGAAATGCTGCTTTCCCTTACAATTTGGTAGCCTAAAACACCAACAACCCAGGAGACTGTAATTGTGCTCATATCAAAGCACGTGATGCGTCGTGATAGGCTACCAGGTGAGACATCGTCAATCGAGATAGACAGCAGCCAAAACAGATCATTCCAGTGCATTTCACCTCAATTTTAATAGACTAATTCGAGTTCTAAACCCCACGACATGTCGTTTAATGCCGGACTTTGGAACGGTTATTTAAAATGATAATACGGTTAACGGTTTAGTACAACATAAATAAGCTAGGTGACCACAAGTTGTGCATTTTAGAAGTCATAATCCTTACCGCAAACCAAAAGAAGCGCTCAGATCAACGAAAAGTGCGACTAAATGACCCAAAAAGTTTTTTTTCTGATCCAAAAACTTCAGCGATCTCAACTTCTTCGACGTCTCGTTCACGTTTAGTTCAAGGGGGAATGCAGAAGGGCAGCATTTTCTCCAAGTCAATCACAGAAAGGACATCAATACAGCGCCTACTTCGAAGATGCGGAGTGCCACAGTTAATCGACGTGAAATCGATCCACGTGTTCAACGGAATTCAATCAGTCAGTAGCTTGACAATGCGTTTGATCAGTTTGTTTCGGAGCCGATGAATCTGATTGCATCTTGCCTAAATTACTCACCAAAATGTTTCAACATGGGAATTAAGTCTTCGCAGGTACTCATGTCCCGTGCGGTCAGTGAGGGGGGACGTAAGAGGGGAGGTGTTTTGGCTAATGAATGGCTGTCACACCAGTCTCACATGTCCCCTGTTAACGCATGTGAGGTCTGGTAGAGAAGGAAGTAAGGAGATCAAGATTAGAGGGTGACAGTTAGCCCTCTCCAAGAGTGAGATGGGGTGAGGTGAGAAAACACGAACAAGCAGAGTGACATCTTAGACTGGCATACGTGTAGTGCTTACCACCCCCGTACAGTCTTTTTTAATTGGTTCATATTTTTTACAACTACGACTACAAATATCTCGTGCACTAAATTTGCCCAATTTTTAAGTGACAAATAACGTTTAAAAGCGTTTTAGTAATGGAATCATCACGGTGATATATTCTGCAATATTTTGTAGTAATTTTGTTTTAAATAAATTAAATGTGACTACTAACTTGAAGAGCCTTCTATGTGGACGATTAGTTTGTACTGATTAGCACACTTTTAGCGATACGAGTAATGGCCTGAATTTGAGAAAAAAAGCCATCGACGGAGCAATGGGGTAAACAGAACGAAAAAATGACAGATGCGGCATCAATTTCGGACCCGAAGGACATACTCAGTCTACTTGTCTCAGGAAGCACCACATATCTCTGGTTTGGTGCGTTCAAGCCTCAATTTCGACAGTAATTTGATGGATTCGGATGAGAGATCCAGTTCGTCAGAACAGAGGGGAAGATTTGGTGATTTTGATTCATCCTAGAGGACGTACTCATACCAAGGCAATGCTCATAGCGTTTAGACGAAGAGTCATGAAGAGAATGGACGTACGGGAATAGGTTTACACGCCTCCAACGGTTAGGGCGCTGCGTCATTTTCCGGAAATTGAATTCAGAAAGATTGACCTTCGTAACCGCATGAATATTTGAAGCTAGTATCAAAGATCTCACACAAGATGAACCTCGTGATAGTAGATTCCGGGAATGAAGATGAATTCTTGCGTTTGATTTGCATACTGAAATGGGTAAAGTCTATAGAGGAGTAGATAGAAGAAGCGTAAAAAATCCATCGTGTGCCTGTGCTGACCGGTAACAAGCAACACGTAGAAGAGCACAAGAGAGATGCCAAACACGCGAGGAGTGGATGACGGGACGCGATAACTGCAGAAACACTTGTGTGGCCTGTCAAGGCCTGGCTAAAGAAACTGTAACGATTTGTCCAGGTGACAGGAAGAAATGTACGGGAAAAGGGGTAGGCGATTTCTTGAAAATTTGACTTTCACACGGGTTAAATGGCAGACGTGCCAGCAAATGTACAAAGCAGCATTCAAATCAGCCCACGAAAAACGCACAAATTAGAATGTGACAACCTCCACAGTGGTTACTGCCTTCACATCTGCAAGAAGTCATGCAGGTACCGGTTGGGATGTGTTTTTGAGAAGGTTTATTTGTCCCAAAGCCAAAATACTTAGGCATTTCGGAGGAAACATCAATTGGGTGTCAAGGGTGATTAGATGAAATTTGCTCGAAGCAGTTCGGACATTGATAGCACACGCACATACTTATCCGATATTACCACAACAGAATTATGCCGGTTACAGAAGCCTTCCATAGCATAATTATTCACCAAATATTCACCTGTCAATGCACGAAGTCAGCATAATTTCAACACCATGGAGGCACGAAGCAAAATTTACATACCTTTGACACAACGTGCAAGTAATCACTAAAGTATAGTGACACGAGGGTGTGTAAAATAACGCCAGATACACAACATTTTACTTTTCAACAATCTGATCACAAGCACACACTGAGATTGATGGTGATGATGATAGTGAATATTATGGTGATGGCAACTCACTCATCTAGCTGTAATAACCCGCGATTAGACTACAAGTGCACATGTGTTCCTCTAAAACACGTTAAGGAAGTAATCTAACCAACAAAATTACAAGTAACTTCGACTAAAAGCGGTCGATGAGCACCGTTCATTATGTAAATTTGCCAAAAAAAGAAAAGTTAAGAGGAATCTAAACAGCATGGCAGGGAAGATAAACCGAGGTTTGTTTAAATCAGGCGGAGAAGGCGGAGGAAGTCGAATTCAATTTTCCCCGCGCAGCCACACTTCGATTAATTAAGGCTTCAAGTCGACTTGTCTTACTTCCTGGGGTGTATGTGAATGTCAGGCTAGATTTTGAGCATGACACTGACATGAGTGGCATTGTTTTCAGCCTATTCTCACCACCTTTTGACGTGGGAGATGTGGTGGTGGTAGTAGTGGTGGAAGAATGCAAAGCAATAACAACTCAAGCCTCCTTATCACAAGCAATCATCGCAGTATCTGTCATTTGACAGGGAAGAATGAATTAGCCGAATTCCCAGTTGTTCCATAGTGTAGCAGATGGCATTACTTGTGGCTAGAAGAACACGTTTGGAGGGAAACTGTGACCATTTTGAAAGACATTTAAATTCGAGAGGTCCCAAGGGAAGAAATTCAACTAGCACATCACTACAGCCTTAATTAGATGTGACGGGCAAAAGGAAACGTTAGAGGCTTTATGTGCTAAAAAGTGGCAAGAGTAAAACTGTTTGCATGAACGCCTGAGCAAGACCATCCAACGTCAACAGGAGAACGACGAGAATGCAGGATATTCTAGTAGGTTTTTGATTAGGCGGTTAAAGTCGAATTCGTTTTATGCTGACAGAACGGAAGAATTCAATTTTACTCACTGACGGATACAATTTGCCCAATTTCGACCACACAGGTATGCTAAGTTTAGCGACAGGGAGAGATAATTGCTAGGAGAGGGAACAACAGAGGTGTTGCTCTTTCAGTGTTCGCCATGATGCTTTGTCATGAGCTCGAAAAGGCCGGTTAGCAAGGTCGTACGCATTCATGCATATGCTTATACACACACACACACACACACACACACACAATCCACACGCCACCGACTGGCGGTAAGTGGCGGTGTTGTCGGCAAAAGAACACACAAGGAACACTGCACGCTCTGTTCCCTGACAAAGACTGAAGGAAGGGGCCACAAGACTGCTAAACCTGTTTATGTGAGCGTCGTCTTCTTGGTAAATTTCTGCTGGATTTGTAGCCTAACTTGCATTCGTTATAAGCGATAAGCAAACTTCAAGTTGTCGCCAGCAGCCAGTTTGTTGCAACGAAAGGCTCTCAGTGGGGTCAGTAGACAAGATTTGATAATCAGCGTGTTGATTGGCAAACAAGAGCACAGTCAGGTTGACATATTTCAACTTGTAAACCCTTGTTAGCTTTTAAAAAATAGCGGAGGGGATGAATGGGTGACAAGAGAATTCATTGAAACAAACAAACAGCGGTTTCAAGCTTTGTTTTCATTTCAAAAAGAGGAGGAGACTTACCGATTGCGAATTTGTCAAAAAGTAAGGTGAATTAAGAGGACATTTTTTTGCATGTTTGGTGGACGTCAAGATATTCAAGAGAAGGCCTACGGAGATTTCAAGATTGACCAATCTTTTTTTAATGGAAATGCTCTAGGTTTGGGTTTGTAAGAAATGCAAAACCATCTGGACCTGCTACCCTGGCAATGGGCATGTCAAAATTGTCTCGAGGAGGGAAAAAAACTGGTTGTGGAAGCGTTGGATGGTGCAGAGGTGAGAAATTTCGCCACTCACCGATTCTATGAATGGGCCTAGATTCTCCTCGAGGTAGACTACCGCCGACCTCAGAGTAGTCTCCTGTTCACGACTTTGCCAAGCACTGCCGGCCAGGCAATTACGCGCCAGCGAAAGCCACGCCTTGGCCAACTGGAGAACATGGTCGGTGTCCAAAATGCTGCACTGTTCGTGGACCAGCCTGATAACATGCGTGTCCCCCGGGCTCTTCGACCCATCCGAAGTGAGGTGGAAAAGGTCGACGATCCAGCAGACGCACTTGGAGCCCGCGAGAAAGCTGTCCGGTTGGTCGAGAGCCAATTGGTGCAGCGCCTCGTCCGCCAGCTGATGGGAGGAGGTGAGGTGGGAGAGACAGCGCAGCGCTGCCTCAACGCAGTCGACTGTGGCCTGGAGAAGGGACATGGGGAGGGAGCGCCGGCCACAGGGGCAGGAGAGGAGGGTTGAGGGGATGGGATCGCACTTGGGGGGAGCGACGCATGTGCCACCCACAGAGGCCTCTCGGCACAAAGTAGGATGTCCCGACAGCTCGTTCATTGAGAAGGTAAATAGTCGGGAGAGTAGGGGCACGGCACCACTCTGTAAAATGACGCAACTCAGCTAGACCGTTTCTTGGTACCTGGTTGTATATGTAACTTATCCTTGCAGTTTAATTGAATCCTGGCAAGTTATAACGATTAATAATGGCGTCAATTCTTCAACGCACGTCGTCTGTAAAATATTATCCACAAATTCTTGACAAGAATCTATGATTAATATGCTTCCACATTAAACTCCCTTTGTGGTTTTCACAGTACTCGGGTTAGCAGAACAAAAAACGGAGCAGAAGACGCAGCAAAAACAGCAATAGAGCTTGCGTTTATTATGGTGGGATACTAAATATCATCACACAGAAAAAAATCAATTTATTTTTAACGAGAAGCCTCAGTGGCTTCGAGGCATGTCAAAAAGGGTTTCGGTGTTTTGCTGACATTGAGATGGATTTGGGGACTAGGTGTGAAATTGGTATGAAGCTGACGCTGAGAAGACAACACTCCCAAAGACAGTAGACTTTGCCCATAATGTGTCGAAGTTATGCACACACACACCCACAGACGCAAATGACGGCACGTGCTTGCCCGTGCACACACAAACACACACGCACTCAAAAAGACAAGGCGGTGTTGGCGGCGTTGGTGGCGGTGTCGAGGTGGCAAGGTAATGGACACCAATTAAAACACTTTGGTCTTGTAATTAGGATGAGATCCAAAAAAACTGAGAGAAAAGCCTTCACTCGTGGAATACAAAAAATCTAGTGAAGGGGAAACCTTTTTTTTGAAATCAGCACTTTTATCGTGTTTGTATCGGCTAAACTCCTTGGGTATTGTTGCAGAATGTCGCGACTGGGTGCTTTGCATAAATTTAGCAACACGTTATAACAACATAAGTAAATTGGCATCGATTGGAAATCAGGGAAAGCTTGTTGAAAACACGTTGTGTAGACATATGAATATCTGCAATCAATATACTTACTCCAAAGCAAATGATTCGAAATTTATATACGACGTTAAAATTAAACAAATTATTGATTAATTGATGCCTGTATTCTGATCAATACTTTATTCTCAGAGTTATCTGAGTTTAACGAGCCCAAATCAAGGGGGTTTTAATGCATGACATAATTTTAGTTTTAAGAGACAATTTACACATCCAAATTTAATTCATCTTAACTATAAGACGCATGAACACAAAACACGACAAAATAAATTACCTCAACCAAAAAGGATTTGGTAAAGGGGTTCCGACAGGTGAAATTGGCCAGAGTTCCTGAGATGCATCGTACGATTGTGTATCTCTCTTGTAGATCATAGTGAGAATAAATTCTGGCTTTCCAACATCGCAAAGAATGCTCTACGGTACGAAACCTTTGAAGAAGTAGTTCACTGGTTTCGTTTATCTGTTGGTTTGCAAGGCTCCCACATTGGTCAGACAAATTTCTCAGGGTCCAAAAGGCATTTGTCGAGAGTCGCTGAAACGTTGAAGTGGCTGAGTGCTTAAAGAACCGAAGTGCTGGATCACCTCGCAGAATGTCTTTCTTCGTATGTGGATGCGTCGAAAGTATGCGCAGAAGGCGAGCGCATACACATTGTGTTTTTTCAAAAGGATATGTGTGAACAAAGTACAACAGTGGCACAACACCCTGCTTGGCGTGTATTAGCCGCTTTGCCATTTCGTTTCTATGAGCAAGTAAATATATACAATCACAAACAATCGCCAAAAATTTTGACAGGGTTGTCGATGATGCAAATGCAAGATAGGGGTTACTTGTCACAGGTGGGTGAAATGACTTGTCATAAATAAAGCAGGTCCACAAAATCTGGATAAGAAGAGTTATAATAGGGGGGGTTCGGAACTTTTCACGTAAGTTTTTGCGATCCAACAGGTTATGCAGGCCGGCCACTGTGTAATGAAGTGCTGATTCTAATGGAACAGCCAAAAGTTTGATGATTAATACCAGGATCGAATCAAGTGGAATGAGGTATGCAGAGATGTCATTTTCCGTTAAATGGTAGAAGATACCACTGAGATAGTGGGTGAGTTCAGGATGTTTTGATATGTCATTTGCGGTAACTACAGACTTTAAAGTCGCAAATATTTCAGCTGATGATGCCAGTACAGCTTCAGCAAATCCCAAACGGCAAAGATGAAAAAGCTGTAACGCCGACGACTTTAAAACACCAGTATCACAAGATAGCAAACCTAAACAGGAATTCTGAATAAAGGGAAGCGCGGTTGAGATATTGATAGGTGGATCTATGACAGAAAATTCATTCCATACACCATTGTCCAACGAATAAATGGATTCAGTGCTTAAGGGTCGAGTTTCTTCTGATGATTCCAAGCCAGAATCAGAGGACAGTGAAACAGAATCATCTGCGTCGAAAATGTGGTCTTCCATGCTATTTATGAGATAACTAATATGCATTCCAGTATGAAAGGTTTACAAAGACCAACAAAGTAAACACACTTTTATACAAAACCAACGAAACAATTATTTCAGCTATGCAAAGCTTAATTTACGAATCAACACAAATTTACTAAATCACAGTAAAAGACAGATATAAACAAACTGAAAGGTCACACATCAAGTTAATTTAAGCGTGCAAAAAAATTAGTTACGTTATAAAGACATTAAAAGCTGCAATACGTTTATTTAATTTTTAAAATCGCAATTTAAAAACTAATAAACAGAACCTACAAGATGACATTCATTTAAGTAGAAATGAATAAATTTTGAACAACAACATAAGGTTCTTCTAAATATACCTTTCATTATATAAATGTAACATTTCAATTAGAAATATAATTTGTTTCGTTCAACAGAACGTATAATACCGAGTACTATCAATGCGAACATCTATAATTATTCGTGTATTGTTGTATTTCAAGAATTCGTTTAGGTCAGATTTCAAGTTTGCATATTCAATTCTGTTTCTACAAAGAAGAGCTGATTTATTTGAAAAATGTTATTGTTTGATACTTACACACAGCTATTTCTTGGGAGAAAAAATTGTGGGCACATATAATTTCTTATGTGGCTTAGTTCAATATTAATTTTAATATTAAATAATTACAACGACTACCTTCATAGAATTTCAATTTACTTAAGATCCATTGAAATCTTCCAAGCAATTAACTTTAAAAAAACTGGCGATAAAAATCAATTTTATTCCTATTGCAAGAAACCGATGCGTTGGAAGTAATTGAAGTTCCCATTCGAAAGATATCTTTACATGAAACAGAATGATCCTTGGTTAATTCTACACCCCTGTTTATTTTGAACGGATCATTTTGACTACATGCTTGTCACTTTTTTTGTCAAAAAAAAGTCATAAGGCGACAGGTCCTCTTTAGTACTTGATTAATGTTGCACAAGCCATGAATTCCGTAAATAATATCTTAGAGTATTCAGCATTTCACTAATGGAAATAATGTCTGAATGTGTCTGGTTGAAACGCAGTTATATTTTTCAAAGTTAATAGCCACTTGACCTCGGCATTATATACAAATATGATGAGACGTATTTACATAAAATATAAATAGAGCTGATCGGCACCTTATAAAATAAATGGAAATAGTTGTTAATTAATTTTCGTATAATGTTTGAAAACATAAATTGTTCATTCCTACCTCTCAAAGATGTTCTATTCCGTCAAAACACCGAATCAATATCATAACTGTTTTACTACCAAACGCAATGGTTTAATCGACGCCGCCACGGCAGGGCATACAAATATCAAAAATCAGAATATCCGTTTAAGTCATAAATTTCTGCTTTTTTTCTTTTTAAAAACGACAGATGATACACCCGTTAGTCCTTGACTACTCAGCAAGTACACTAAGAAAGTAATTCGAGTACAAAAAATGTCGCCAAAATTGACACTGAATGACTAACTGAATTCTAACAAATATGAACTATTTAAGATCCAACCGTTTTTTATGACGGATAAAGGTGTTCCACATATCTATAAAAAATTACTGTATTCATGTCATTATTATGCAGCCTGGAATTAAATTTCTTTGAATAATCCAACCTGTTCAAATATATGCTAATTTACATTTGCAGACTTGAAACAGACCATCGCGAGGTTCGGCCACGAGGATAACATTTATCTTTTTACAAGAATTATTTTTCTTCCTGCCGAATTTTAAGAATCCGAAATAGTCAATACCAGCAAATAAGATTCCATGTCCGAGTATTTAAGAAATATTTAATTGTTGGGGTGATTCGGTGAAGAGAATTTCGGTAAAACACAGGAGAACTTAATCAATGTGCCCGTTTTGTACTGCATTAGTTTGAGACTACTTTCTAGAAAATGTATACAAAGATTTATAATTTGCCATCATCTTTCCGAATCTGTTCCCTATGTGTTTTATCCTCAAGCACGATTACATTACAAATGAACTAAACATTAATTTAGCATTATAATTATGCTGGTGAGGACTCATTTGGATGATAATAGAACGGCACTAATCCTCCACTCGTAACGAATTTTTAAATCATTTACATGCCGCGTTGGATAGTGATACTGTTTAGGAATAGCAGTTTTATCTCGTCTTATATGGCTGCATAGAGTTGCATGCGCATTGAATACGCTGTGTATTTATCTAGGATTTGGGTCTGCCCACCACCTTCGCGTTAAGAAACGTGTTAAAGCAGAAGATGACCTTGAAGCGCTTGAACGTGATCGCGGCCGTTGCAAGCAACGGCGGTATTGGGAAGGCCAATAAATTGCCATGGAAAATCAGGTATATCTTTTCAACATATTTTGGTTTGCTTGAGTGTTTTACTATTTCGCATCACCTTGAGAGCATTTTCGTTTCCCCAAAAAGGTTTTACATCCAATTTTATCATAATTTAGCAAAAAACAAATAGAAAATTCATACATGAAGGCTGTCACTTCGAGTATATTATATCTCGATTTGTAGATGTGTTAGGGATTCTTCACAGTTTAATTTGAACGCGTCTATAAGTCTGACATTTGCAGCTTAATCGCCAGGCGTCGTTTTTGCACGCTTAAGTGCCCCGATTATCTAGACTTTTTCTAGTGACAAATGTGTTTTAAAATCCCTGAAAGTCTATAAGCTAGTGGGACTACACGTATTTCTTATTAGGACTGATTCCGTTTTGAGGCATCCTTTTACTTCGATCTCAGAATGAATATTAAGGTATCTGCCTACTTGCCTAACTTCTTCCTGTTCTCACAGTTCAATGTGTGGATGTTGTTTAATATCAGTTTATACCACTATTTGTTGCGTACAGTACCTCTGTTTTGACCTAATTCTGACCTCCGTGCCCAAATTACTTCGTTCTAATATCGCTAGAAATGCGCTTAACAGATACTCAAGTTACTGATGAATATAGAGAGACGTATGCCAAAATCGTAATTGGATGTTTAGTATTGAAACAAAATGGCAAAAAACTAGAAGGAAGTGGTGGTTCATGTGTAGAATTTTGCAGGGGTTTACCACTAGTTGCATTGGCGATAAATAGTTTTACCTTTACTAACCTTTATATTTTATCTTCAGCATCCTCTTTGCGGAACCCAGCTGTAACAAGAGTAACTTTAAAATTATATATTTATCTTCTTGCACGCCCGAGGCTATGTTTTATTTAAATAACTCGAAAGTTGATGGTTAAGAGGTTTTAGGTCTTTTTTAAATGCGCATTTATTTTTTGCGTTTCAGAGAGGATATGGACTTTTTCACCAGAATTACAACGACTGCTCAAGAAGGTTTGTCATCTCTGGTATGTCATCAATCTTGTCCCTCTAGGTCGAAGGAATGCGGTTATTCTCGGTAGAAATACATGGGCATCTATTCCCCCGAAATTCCGACCACTTCCGAACCGAATTAACGTGATCGTGTCAACGCAACTCGAATCGTAGATCACTTGAAGTTACCTTGTATGCAATTTTTAGGGTAAATGAAGGTGTTTATCTCGCAAGGTCATTCGATGACTCCATTCGGCTCGTAGAGTCGCTGCACGACGATGGTCTGGTGGATGAGGTGTTTGTTATCGGTGGCAGCAGAATCTATGAGGTATTTTTTTTAATCCCACGCACCCTTCGTCTTGTACCATGCACGCAGTTAGTCTCCTCACGTCCAATCCTTAATCTGCAATCAAGTCTGGACCTCAAAATCCGAATGTAATTGGAATCCTAATCTAACTATTCCATTTTGTGCTTACGCATTTCGCATCCCCATGTGTTGCTTTGAACAACCGTTTTGTGTAATTGTCCCTACTCAATGACACATCAAAAATCTGCAAATATCGGGCAATCATCCTCCGAGAACTGGGAGTTTTGATCTTGATGACTTGTTAACTTGAGTACGTACTGAGCCGAACCTCAAACGTCACTTTGAAACTACATCGAGTTGTGTTGATTGGGGCGACGCAAATTCGTGATTAGGGTGAATCCACTTTCATGCGACATCTGAGACTCAATTTTACGGGTCAAATTATTGTTAATTGAAAACATAAATCGTCGCCTTTATTTCATCGAATTCAATTGAACTCGACGGCTCCTTGGTGGTTTGAAGTGATAATTCCTCTAAAGGCGCTCCTTTTCAGACCCGCTCGCTTTCGTTGTAGGCTGCGCTAGAGCAAAAAGCGTATCCGGTGCGTATTTACTGCACACACATTATGAGGGACTTCGACTGTGACGTCTTTTTCCCTTCGCTAGACTGGCAGCAACTTCGGTCAGTGAAGTAAGTTTATGTGAATCCGGTTTTCCTGCACTGTCGGTGTTTGTCTGGAGGAACCTCAGTTTCGTGCAGCTGATTGGTATTAAAGTCTAGTGCGAACTTGGCCGTTGCGTCTGGTTGTGTTTCCTGCGTAACCCATTTTGTCTGACACCTTTGGTACCTCTATGCCTAGGATTTAGTTAGGTTTGTCAAAAAGGCAAGTGTCGACCGCCGTAGTCAGCATTGTCTCAATATTAGCCTCATTTGAAGCGATACCATGCAATTTTTAACGACTGCATCATCTTCTTTTGCGAAGGTTAGACACAGTGGACTCTTGTGTGAAGCACTGCGGAGATATTGAATTTCGTTTCGCCGTCTATGATCTGTAGATCCCTGTTTGTACTTGTTGAGGTTTATAAGTGTGAATAAAATGATGTATTTTTTGCTGCTTTACAACGAGGAGTTTAGCTGATTGGTGTTTATTTGTTTTTGGTGGAATAAGTGAAGTTAAGTGAAGCAACTACAAACCTGGGTGGATTGTTCTCGTTCTAATTGTCAGCATAAATTAGTTTTGTGACGTTTCATGCAGCCACCAATGAAAACACAACTCTTTCCGGGGAATCAGTGATTAGAGTTTCATGTTTCAAATCAAACTGAAGTACAACGACAATTTTTACTTTAAGTTCAAACTAACTTCATGGCGAATGATACCATTAAGATAGGCGTTCGTATGGTCCCTGCCTATTTTCCTGAACTAATGGGTATTATGGTTGCCATCACATGTGGGAAAAGTTGAGTTCAATTGATTTCAGAATATGCATTATTAAAATCCTATAAGGGCTTATTTACCGATTCAGACATTGTACGATTAAAAATTATTTTTAACAAAAAGATGGTTATTACCAAAATCAATAACGCAATCGTATTTGCGTCAAGTTAGAGTACCCTCAGTATCCAATCCTTCTAGCGACGGGTGAAGTGAAGCAACGAGGAGGCGGTTATTGTCAGATCGTTTGACACGTTTTGATTAGTATCACTGCACTATGAGATTCTACGAGGTGAAGCTGTTCCTCCTTCACGGAGTTTGGAAATTGTGAAATAATTGATTAGTTAAGTCATGAGAAATTTAATCCGAGATGTCAAAAATAATATAAAGCGTATAAATTTCCGCAGAATCGAATTCAAACTTTCCTCACATAACCCGATGGCGAAAATTTCGATAATGTGATTGTAAAGGGTTCCCGTGTCAAAGAAATATTTTATGTTGATTTATGTGGCGTCGGCAATTATAAAAAGAGATTGGCCGCTATGTGCTCAGCACGAATTACTGGCTTACCATCTCCAAAATACTTCAACAAATATATAGCTACGAATGCAACAGTACAAATTGACAGACAATCTCGTTTTAAGTAAGTGAAAAGTACATATTTTAACCTTAAACGCACACAATTTTTGATAAAGGTAAGATGTATCTTTATTTCAATGGACCATGGCCTTGATTTCATATTTTGGTATGAATGCTTAAGTACTCGTCTTTTAAAGATGTTCATTGATTTTTTTTATCTGTTGGTCATTTCCTTGGATTTCAGATGCAAAATCTATCATATACTAAACACTATGACAATATATCTCAAAGATGACAAATACATAACTACTAAATACAGACTAAAAGACATTTAAAAGGGTTTACACATAAATGAAAGGACCTAAATTTAAAATTCTGATGTCAAAACCTGTCCTGATAAATAAATATTGTTGTCAACGCTTTGCAAATGCAATTAATAAAAAATTGCGCATTTGCTATTACCGTGGAGCACTAAATTCATAATAAATTAATTAGCCGATTAGGTTGGAATATAGTTGCTGGCCATAATTAGACAACCTCTTTGACAAAGATTGTCATTTCTTAACAAAAAAAACTTGCTGCCGTTAACTACCTATCGAGTCATCCTTTAAAAGCATCCATTCTTCTCAGTTGTATCGATCGAACAAATAATGCTTTTCAAATTTCATTCAACTTAGAAAAAGCAACCCACATTTTTACTTGAAAATCAGACGCTGTTCCATGTGAGTCATCTATGTATTACTTACATGAACAGTGATGGCAACACTTCTGAATGTATAGTTTTTAAAACGCTGTTGCCCATTTAATGTTTACCTTAAGAGATAGAAATAAAATTCAATGAATTTAAGCAAATAAAAATAATTTCGAAAAGTAGAAAACTTTCCTTTTGGCAAAATTCTATGATATAAGTTTCTTTTTAAGATTCATTGCTGATCTTTTTCTTTTACGAAGGCATTTAATTGAACTGATACCAAAGCTGGCAGTTTGAAACCGTCGCTCATTCCGCCTGTAGTTGTTCGGTGTGCGGTTGTAGAAGTTGGTGCTGCCAAGGTCTTGTGGATCCAGGCTATCGATCTCAAGTCGTACAGTTCTTCAGGGTTGGAAGGAAATGGGTCATATCGCAGGCAGTGATGACGAATATCACTGTTACATAACTGAGGCTGATGGTGCCGTTTCGGTATTTGTTTTCCTTCTATTTTATTGTTTAGGATTTATGGGCGTTCAAGTACTCTAGAATCAGGCAGATACGAAAATGGATTTGCTACGTCTTTTCCGTTTTCATTCTTCGTCTTGTCCTTCACTGGTACCCTCAATTTCACATTCGCTTCGTGATGTCGCCTTGTAAAATCAGTGAGGCTAGCAAGTTTCTGATCAAAGTACGCTTTTTGATTTTATTCTATAACTTCACAGGACAGTAGCGGTGTATTTTATGTTGTCGGTGTTAAAAGCAGAAAATCACGACGGAGTCTCGATGTCGATTCAAACGATGGTGATAGCGTTTATTCCAGTGCTCTCTCGGAAGCTTCTGGATTTTTCACTGCAGATAACAGCGAAGTAAATAAGTCGTTTTCATAATGTACATGTAGACTGATTCAACACAACTGTGGATTTATTATAAAAGTCTGAAATACGTTCTGGACGAGTCGGATGGGCACTACTATTTACTTCAGTAAGCTTTACTTGTATCAAGCGTTGCAAGCTTGAGGAATGTTTAAAACCATGCCTGTAGGTACCATTTCGTTCCCTAATATGTCACCAATTTTGTTTTTTCTCACAGGAGTTGGGATGAGCGACCGTCGTCGGACATTGTGAACGCGCAACCACTTGATGATGGCGAGGTCAGCCGTCGCAAGTTCACCTACGATGCCAACGATATCCCCATTCCAAGACGAAGTATTTTGCAACTGCTTTTGTCTGAGGTATGTTTTATTTAGCTTATGCTATTGAATGCTAACCTTTTTCATCATTTTAGGGGTTAAACCAATTTTACATGTTCCAACTCGCCAGCTGCATATTGTGGTTTTCTGACTCCTACTACTACTATGCGGCAACTATTCTTATTATCTCAGTTTTGTCGCTATCTTGGACAATTTTCGATATAAGAAGGGTAAATTACTTTACACTGACCTAAAATATTCCTAAATACCACTTTTTTAAAAATATCTGGTGACTTTGCCATGTTTCAGAATGAGAAGGCCCTCCGTGATACAGTCGTTTCTAATGGATCTGTTAGTGTGTGTCGCAATGTAAACGGAATTCCAAGTACGTTGCCGCCAAGTAACGTTTTCTCAAATTTCTCAGATTCGTTGTTAAGTGCTCTAATTTTTTTTTATCAGAGTTCTTCTCCATCGATTCCACTGATCTGGTGCCTGGTGACGTAATCGAAATCCCCAAAGATGGTTGCACCATGTTTTGTGATGCTGTTCTCCTTCACGGCAACTGCATTGTCAATGAAAGCACCTTGACGGGTCAGTCGCTCTAGTTGACTGGGGAATTTTGTAATTCTCTAAGTTTGTGTTTTAGGTCAGTAGCCTGAGCTGTAATTATGACGCAGAAGTCTTATCATTTCTATAGACCGTAATTTCTTAGCATGTTTATTTTTCCACTGAATTAGAGTTTTCTTGCCATTTAGGTGAAAGTGTACCGGTGACTAAAATACCATTTGTCGCGTCCAAACCTGTTGATGACACCCCAGTGCTATTTGACCTGAAGGCCGCGTCGAAAAGTGTCCTGTTTTGCGGTACATTGGTCATTCAAACTCGCAACTTCGCTGATCAGAAGGTCACTGCAGTGGTTGTGCGCACGGGCTTCCGTACGGCCAAGGGGGAGATGGTTAGGTCGATTCTCTTCCCGAAGCCGATGAAGTTTGAGTTCACCCGAGACGTCAATAAGTTCATTGGATTGTTGTCCATCTTGGCACTGAGCGGCTTCGGATTTTCCATCTACGTTTTGGTACGTTCATTCACTTTATCGGTCTCAACTCCTCAATTTTTGACCTCACGGCTTGTTCGTCGCTCATAAGCGCACATAGTGCCACATTTTATAAACGAGTGTACTTGACGTTCTGTTTTTTTCCATCTCCGCATTCCTTATCGGTGAAAACAGCCTTTACTGTGCCACATCAAAACTGTTTATTTCAGCTGCGAAATGGCTACGCCGCGGACATGATTATTAAGAGAGCGCTCGATCTAATTACCGTGGCAGTTCCACCTGCTTTGCCCGTCGCCATGACTGTAGGAATTGCGTTTGCACAGAGCCGTCTCAAGAAACGCAGCGTCTTCTGCATCAACCCCAGTGTCATCAACGTCTGCGGTGTGATCAATGTCACCTGTTTTGATAAAGTGAGTTTACTTTCTGCTTTCAACAACTCTTTGACCTCTGAAGACCTCAAATTGATTGTTTTTAGTATCAGCCAGGTAGTGTGTGCACACGGGAAACCTTGAGCCAAAATTCTGATAAGCGTTTATCTCACTAAACTGGCGTAATTTCTGCCCGCTAGTCTAATTCACAAACAAATGAATTTTGTATTTATTTGGCTAATTCAGGACACACTTCCTTGTGTGGTGAATTGAAGTTAGACCCGTCTTCATTAGTCATCTAATTCGGCTTGAAAACCCCAGGTAGTTCTTTCTCTCACGCCTGTATTCATGCGCATCTCTTTTTAACCGACAGACGGGCACTATTACCGAGGACGGTTTGGATTTGTGGGGCGTAATACCCAATGGGGATGGGCAGTTTGAGGAGCCGACCGGGGAGCCGAGTAAGCTGCCCCCTGGACCCCTGCTCGAGACCATGGCCTCCTGTCACTCCCTCACGCGCATCGAGGGCCAACTCGCTGGCGACCCGCTCGACTTGAAGATGTTCCTCTCCACGAATTGGGTGAGTTTTTACCCGATAAAATGTAGCTGCGTAGGCCTCGGGCTAACCAACACCGTTGCACTTTGTGCCTTGCGTTTCAGCTTTGTGTGAAACACAGATGACTCACGTGTTATTTTTACAAAATATCTCTGTGCGAACCAACTTCTCTATCGTTTCCTATGGCATAGCACCGTCTTCATAACTAAGTACACTCTTAATGCTCCCTCACCAGATTCACAAGTGAATCCTCTTCAAGCGGATGTCCTGTTTCGGCTGTGCGGGATCTACACACACATGTTTACGCTTGGGAATCTCGTAACGAAAAACATGCTTTCCATCACCCGTCACAAGTTTCCACAAGAAGTTCATTCACTGCTTGTTGATCGGCAGGCACGCACTGCAAGTCATGTTTTCATGCGTTGGCCTTGGTTGTGTGTTCGGTCGTCACATGTGGGGGGCCCAACTTCCAACTTGCCGAATTTGTCCCATTTTGTGGTAAAGCTTGTAGATAGGTGTTTGGGTGACTCCTAATTGAGCTGGTGAAGGCTCTTGTTGCGTTTGCGTTGAGTTCTCACGCAGTAGAACTTGCAATTGCGCATCTCCATAATTTCGGGTTTGATGTTCAGTGCGCGTTTGGTGGTCACTACGACTTCTAATAAAACCTTTGTACCCACAATGACATGTTTCACAAGACCGCGTGTGCATCAAGAGCACTACAAATTGATTCCCCAGCGCGTTAGAAGCACTTTTCCCTGCTGTTGGAATTCACATAAAATGCAGTGACATGCTAATGTGAGAGGTTACGTAACTCACGTAGACTTGTTGTTGTTTGGTGTTGTTATGCACCGTGTTGACTGACATTCAGTTAGGCTGATTGGCTGTAATAGTCTACTTTTCTGTGGGCACGTCTGAACTCATTCCCCGTGTCAAGCAGTACAGATAACCGGGAAATGTTGAAAATATCGGGATATATTTTCAACTCCGGGATGCCGCAATTTGCACGAAGTCCGTCTTTTGTAAATCGCACCTTCTTGCGCCACACTGACGTGAATAGAAGCGGAAAAAAACTCGATGCGCGGATTTGCTGTCTGTCTTAAAGTAAACTTGGCGCTAGCCAATTGCCGCGTAGGTGGGATAGGAAGTACGCAAATCTGCACTCTAGAATTTGCCAATTAGGTATATTGGGCGTTGGGGGCAGTATTTTGCATAGTTTTAGCACATTTGGCGCCGTAAACACTCGTCTACCACAACGCTTTAAGGCGCACTGGGTTGTGGTTATTCTGTCGTGCCTGTTTGACTAATTTACCGACAAGTGTTAACGCAAAACTCCTATGCTTTGCCAAGTCATGTTTTCATTATGTGCAGCATGCCTTCTCTAAAAAGTACAGATTTCTCAGAATTGGTATCCAAACCAGACACGCCAGCGCCCTCGCTAGTACATGTTCGTATGTGCCAAGGGCTTTTTAAGTGTCATTGATCATTGCCATACTCAAATTGTGACTAACTCCAGGAAGTAGGCGCAGTTTTTCCGTGGTTCCTTTCCGAAAATGTGTTCTTCCCTTTCCAGGAACTGACAGAGGAGATTTCGGAAGATCACTGCAAGTTTGAGATGACCATTCCTACGGTCGTCCGACCACGCAACGCGGCGCTTAACGAGGCCACTGTCACCACATTGGCCGACGCTGATGTAAGTTAGCACCGCCCCTTGAAACGCCTCCCCTCCCACACACCACACCGACCACTTTTCCGCGATTTTTAACCATTCAGGTGATCTTGGTGTGGTTTAGATGCCCTGTTTGGTTTGCTCTAGCACTTACTTATGAATCGGAGTTGCTCAAATTGACTGCTAATAATGCCATTCGCGCCCACAAAACACATCTGCACAGCACTTTCCCACTAAACCCGAAAATCTCTGCGGTATTGCGAATTTGGAGGCGAATTAGTGCTCCACTGTAAACTTACCTCACTTTCACCCATGCCTTTTTGTGGTAATTTTAAAACTGGGATGTAAAGAACGCATGCTTTCAACACGACTTGCAGTTCCTGGTTTGATCAGGCCGAGGAAAAAACCAATATTTGGCCTCAGAAGGAGCTGTCAAATCGTACAAGCACGTAAATCCCTTTTCTGTGTGTGCCAGACGGCTCGTTCCCCGGTATCTGATTGTCTTCGTTGCTGGACCTCCTTATTCAGCGTTTTACTAAGACAAGCCTTATTTCTCTGCAGGCTCTGCCATACGAGATTGGTATCCTCCGACAATTTCCCTTCAGTTCAACCCTGCAGCGAATGTCCGTCATTGGAAGAGCCCTCAACGGCAGTCACTTCTGCGTTTACACAAAAGGCTCGCCTGAAATGATTGAGACCCTCTGCCGCAGGGAAACACGTGAGTTGTGGACACGGGACATTCGGGCCGTCGTCATCGTTGTTGTTGTTGTGTTAACTTCCACAACTCTTTTCCAGTGCCTCGGGATTTCCATCGGGTGTTGTTGGAGTACACGCGTGAGGGCTATCGTGTGATCGCGCTGGCGTGGCGTCCGCTTCGCGTCGCCTACACGAGGGTCATGCGGTTGGAGCGCAGCTCCATCGAACGCCAGCTCCACTTCCTCGGCCTCCTAGTCATGGAAAATCGCCTCAAACCCGAGAGCGCTCCCGTCATCAAGCTTCTCAAAGACGCCCACATCCGACCTGTCATGGTCACCGGTATTGGCCTGATCACTTGCTCACTGCGTGATTGCGTCTCTAATGCGTGTCGTCTCATCTTCTCGCTTCTTGCTTGTGTTTTTAGGCGATAACATGCTGACTGCGCTGTCGGTGGCGCGCGATTGTGAAATGATTGACGAGACGGACCGCATCATCATCGTCTCCGCCAGACCACCGACGCAGTCACTTCAGGAATCCGACTCTCTGGAGCCCTCTGTTGGGCCTTGTGGCAAAACCGATAACGCCGACAGCGGTTTGAGCGGCATGTCAGACGACTCCACCGACTCCTGGAAGGATCTGGTGCAGTTCCACTACGCCGAGGATCTGCACAAACCGGTTACCGAGGTGACTACCACGTCGACAGCAGTAATTAGTAGACGCCGCAGAGCACGAGTGCATCAACCGATCTCAGAGTCTGAATTCGAAGGTGTAGGACAATCATCTCGTTGGCATTTCTTTAGGTAAGTTAGCGGACTGCCTTGGTTGATAACACCCTCTTTGATTGCTGAGCCAACGAAGCTGTAATCATTGTCGCCTCGCTTCCCGTCGATCTATATTAACCACACTAAGCTACACGCGCTCTCACTTTGCTAGTCACATGTTCTATCGTGTTTATGTAGTGCCTACAGGTCACCATATGACTCATTTTGCACAGAGAACATTGACCTTAATTCAGTCCATCGTTTTCTATGACCTTGGGCGTCTCTCAGCCAACGTACCTACAGTCATTGACGAATTTGCGTTGACCTCGGTTGTGTTCGGTCAACACATGCAGGCGGATCCAACTTCCAAGTTGTTAAATTTGTCCCATTTGGTGCTAACACTCGGAAATAGGTGCTTGGGTGACTCCTAACTGAGGTGTTGCAAGCTCTTGTTGCGTTTGCGTTGAGTTCCCACGCAGCAGAGCCTGCAATTGCGTGTCTTCGAACCTTCGAGTCTGATGTCTGGGGCGTAGCTGGTCGCCAAGATCGAAATCACCACTTCGAAAGCATTTGGTATGACACATCTTCGGCAACAGGATCACTACGAATTGATTCCTTCCGTGCTTTGGAAGCATTTATTCCTTGTTGTTGGAATTCGTGTAAAATGCAGTGCCATCGAATGTGCTGTTTATCAGTTGCCATCGTAACTCGGCTATTCTGAGAGATCATATAACTCACGTAGACTTGTCGTTCGGTGCTCTGAAACCTAGTATCTGATACTTTCGGGACCACAACTAAATCACGTGGTCCTCATTTCGAAAGCTTGTCAGATGATGTACTGTGCCACCAAACTCGTTAAAATGGTAATCCTGTGAGAGAAGAAGAAACTGCCGTTTTTGCCAGTTGATTTTTGTCCGCGGACACAGCAATCTGACGCGTTTGTGCTTGGATTTTAGTCGTAGGAGAAGAACTACCACATTGGATATCGAGGCAGGGCCTCCAGGTAGTCCATTGGATGATGCTCACGTGACACACCAAGGTCGCTCACACGGCATTGTCAAACCGAGGCACCCAGCCGACGCCGACAACATCATCTCGTTGCGCATGGTCGACCGGCCAGACTTCCATTTGGCCATTTCCGGCAAAACATGGGAGATCATCAGGAAGCACTTTCCATCACTCATTCCCAAGGTAGGCTCCAGTGGTTCAGGGCACCTCTGCTAATCGCCATCACCACCACCTAACCAAGTGTCGCTGTCATGTTCCCCCTTTGCTAGCTGGTTGTGAAGGGCACGGTGTTTGCTCGCTTCTCGCCGGAGCAGAAGTCGCAGCTGATCGAGGCACTGCAATCCGTGGGCTACTACGTGTCGATGTGCGGCGACGGAGCCAACGACTGCGGCGCCCTCAAGGCCGCCCACGCGGGCGTAGCTCTGAGTCAGGCCGAGGCCTCCGTGGCGAGTCCCTTCACCTCGGCCCAGCAAAACATCAGCTGTGTGCCGCTGCTCATTCGAGAGGGCCGGTGCGCGCTGTCGACCAGCTTCGGCACCTTCAAGTTCATGATGGGCTACTCCATCACCCAATTCACCAGCGTCCTTCTCCTCTATTGGGTAAGCACGCAATCCACTCCTCGTCCAAGGTGCACTTTGAAGGAACTAAATCCACCGTTTTTTACTTCGCTTTAGGTGGATTCAACCCTCGAAGATATGCAGTTTCTCTACATTGATTTATTTTTGATTACTTCGCTTGGTATTACATGTAAGTTGCCCACCTCCTGTTTCCCTGGTCTTGTAAGCAGTCATCGCGCACGGTGGTGTCTTTCTACGTCGAAATTTCTATCTTGCCTTGCAGTCGGTTACACCAAAGCCTACCAACGTCTTTCAGTGGAGCCTCCGACGATGCGTCTCGTTTCCACGCCAACCCTGCTCTCCCTAGGCAGCCAACTCTTCCTTGTGATAGCCACGCAGGCGGCAGCCTTCGCGTACATCCGCGCCCAGCCATGGCAAGTCCGCGTTTCGTAGTCCTGCTGATTCGCAGATGCCATATCATGTCCAACCCACCCCAAATTAGCATTCACGGACTCTACACGGCTAAAATTTCGCGCGTTTTTCCTCTCCCCAATTCTAGGTATGTTAGCTCAGGGGATTTGGAGAACACCTCTCTCTTCTTGGTTTCGTCATTTCAGTATGTTTTTTTGGCCATCATCTTCTCCAGCGGCCCGCCTTACCGTCGTCGAATCTACACCAATTGTACGTTTCATTTCGCCTACAAATCTTGCTATCTTAGAGGCTGGCTGATCCGGTGTGGTGGTTTGGAGTTGTAGATTTGATACTTAACAGATTGTGTGTGTGGAATTTTCCCTCGTTACCTTGGAGGCTGCACAATGTATAGGGATTAAGATTCACACAGCCAACTCGTCAGTAATTGTGTGTCTTTACAACTGTCTGTGGGTTTGGTGTGCCAAGCACCAGAAAAAAAACAGTTGTTTGTGCTGAAAATGGGCCGCGCCTATTGGTCAGTTTATAGTGCTACTCCACGCTATTATTCCTTGTCTTGTAGATCTCTTCCTGGCCAACGTTCTAGTCACCCTCGCTGTCGACCTTCTTTTCAGTTTGTACTTGGGGAAAGGCATGATGGAATGGATTACGGTAAGCTTTTGCTTTAAAGCCTTGAATTAACTTCACCTACACTCGCTGCTTGCTAATCTCTCTTTTTTTTCATGCGCAGATTGTTGAATTTCCCTCCTACACCGTCCGCATCATCATTGTGATGATGGCGCTGGCCAACTTCCTGCTTGGCTACCTAGTGGAGGCGATCGTTGAGGGCGTGGCCTTCCGTCGTCACATCCAGCGCCTCAAGAAGGCCCTGTTCCCGCGCTACGTCGCTCGCAAGGACTACGAGCGCATCCGCGACGAGATCGATCGTATGGCCGGCGTCTGGCCGCCGATCATCCGCTCGGCCAGCATCCAGGACATCCGGACGGAGTTCTTTGCGGAGGAGCACGACCGCGCTCGTCACCTGTCGGGTGGCCGGTCGCGCAACATCTCCATCACCTCCAGTTGCCCTGACGATGAGGGCGCGCCACCCGCTCCTTCTCCTCCTGCTCTTGGAAGCGGCCTTGTCGAATCTGTCAGTGGCGACATCTCGGCTACCAAACACACTGGCCGCAGAAAGCATCGCTCCGGCTCAGCTGTAAGTGCACCGCCGTGGCCAACCAGTGTATTCGAACGCTGTTTCACTATTGGCTGGACTTTAGAAATCACCGGGATACATATTGGGTGCATGACTTAATTTGTACGGGTGTTTCTATGTATAAAAGGTAATAGAGAACAGCTGACGCGATCTGGGAATTACTTTGCATAGTCTTCCATGACCTTGCGCCATCTCCCAGGTGACGCACGAATGTCATCGTGAAAGAATCTTCCAGGCTTTGCTGCATTGACTGGTACAACTGGCAGTGGGATGCGGCCAAGTCTGGTGAATATGCCGGGAGAACTTACCATCCCAAGTTCAGGAGGATCTTTTGGGTGGCGTGAGGAACATGAAATGGTCGGGCGTTGTCACGCAACAGCTGCAGCAGTACGACTTGTCTGCTTCCTTGCCCGGTAAATGGCCTTTTCTCATCAAGTTCATTGCTCAGTTTGGTCAAGTGTCGGCTGCAGCGTTGTACAGTCATCGTCTGACAACCAGTTTCCTGGAGTTCGCAATTAAGTACACCCGTCAAGTCCCCCAACCAGATCCACAGAAGAACCTTCTTCAAGTGGATGTCCAGTTTCGGCTACTATGTGTTGGATTGTCCGAGATCCACCCACGATTCTACGTTTTGCGTTTGGGATTACCGTAACAAAAAATATGCTTTCAGTGACCCGTCATAATTTTCCACGAGAAGTCCATTCACTGTTTATTGCCGGCTGGCAGGCTGTGAAAGACGTGTGTTCATGCGTTGACGTAGGTTGTGTTCGGTCAACACATGCGGGCGGATCCAACTTCCAAGTTGTTAAATTTGTCCTGTTTGGTGCTGACACTCGGAAATAGGTGCTTGTGTGACTCCTAACTGAGGTGCTTCAAGTCTGATGTCTGGGGCGTGGCTGGTCGCCAAGATCGAAATCACCACTTCGAAAGCGTTTGGTATGACACATCGTCGGCAACAGGATCACTACGAATTGATTCCTTCCGTGCTCTAGAAGCATTTATTCCTTGTTGTTGGAATTCGTGTAAAATGCAGTGCCACCGAATGTGCTGTTTATCAGTTGCCATCGTGAACTCTGCTTTTGTGAGAGGTTGTGTAATTCACGCAGGCTTGTCGTTTGGGTTCTGGTATCTTGCGTCCGATCACTTCTAAACCACAAAAGATCGCGGAAATATGTCTCTATTTTAAATATAATTTTAATCTTGTAGAAAGAATCTGTGCAGATTAAGTCATGCGCCTAATGTTTCCGCTTGTTCTTTTTATGCAGTTTTTCGATGCAAACTGCCTCACCAGAACAGACTGCCTGAGACACGCACACACTAGCGGTTGTTTATCGTTTTTGTGCAAAATTATTATGTCTAATTCATGCTTAGCGGGCGCGGTACTGCGCTAGTAGTCTTCAATCCACGTCCACGCATTGTTAACGTCAAAATTTGCATTCTCTAGTCGCACCACCAATGCCGTTCTCTGCGTGACCTGTCAGAGCAGCCTGAGAACCAGCCACTTGGAATCGCCCAAGACGTCGCCTCCTCGTGTCCCACGAAGGAGTCCGGCGCAGGGGTCGCGGACAGCCTGGAGGCCGGGCGTTCCAAGCACTACTACCACTACCCGTCGCGTTTCCGCGCGCAGAGCAGCTCCTGCGATCAGCGAAAGGGGCCTGCCGACGCCGCCGAGAACCCGGTGGTGCCGCTGCACCACCCGGGGATATCCTAGCAGCAGCCCACCGGTCACCACCGGCGTCGCTCCAGTCCCCCCTGCCTTCTGTGTTCGTCTCCAACTTTTACTCCCCCCACCTCCCCTTGTGATAGTCAGTCAGTTGGATTGGTTGGCACCCAAGCCCCTAAAAAGAAGGGTGCTCGTCTTCGGTTTACTTTTGAGACCTGTTTCATTACTTGTGCTTATTCAGCTTGCCTCCATTTTATTCGTAACTCGTTCCTGGAGTGGTGCTTTTATGCAGTCGTCTGCCAATGACTGCCGGGGGAGGCCCTGCTGTCAGTTTGTTGGTTAGTTGTGCCAAATGATTGGGCCGTTAGTGACGAATGTGATTGGCTGGAAGCCGAAAGCCCGCCGCCAACAGAAGGAGGATTGTTCAGAAGTTAAATCACCACTTTGCGGTGCTCTCATGAAACAGGGTTTTCCACAGGACGAAGTAGTGGTTCCATTTATGCCGGTGTCAAAAACCGGTGCGATTAAAGTCCCCCGAAAGTTACAGAAGCGTCTTTCCCTAATTAGCTGAAGTTGTTCGGCATATTCGGTCGTGGTTTTGATTTAAAATTAAATTTTTCTCGATGAAAATTGATTGGTCCCATACCAGCCAATGAAATTTGATGTAGATTTCGGGAGCATTATACTAAAGAAGACGAATTCTGTCGCTTGTTGGAGTTGACACCTGTGCTTTCGTTGTGTTGTCCACTAAGCAGTCGTATTTCTGAGGTTTTGCGCAAATTGTCAACTAAACTAGTCTGATTTTCTGCAAGGTTATGGGGGCGTATAGGCACCACACGGTCGAATCGTGAGGTTTACACATTGTGACGCCACATTTACGTGGTGACTTATTTTAAGCCCGTGCTTCAGTCATGCTCTGGATTAAAAAAAAGTCGAGCGTAAAACCACGTAGGGCGTGGGTGTGATAGTTACGACGACCTCGGGATATCATCCAAAGTCTCAAGAAACGCCACAAATGTCATTCGACTTGAATGTTTTGCGACAAAGTGGAATTTTCGGCCAGTAGGTCAACGCAAGCGCACTTTTCCACGCTTACAACAAATTTATTCAACAGTGATTAACCAGGCGGTTAAGTGTGAACTCGTAAATTGAAATGACTTTCAATTGCATAATGAGCGCGATGTCACATGCCCATTGCACCAGATGTCACAAATGTCTTGAATGCGCGCTTGCCAATGTCTCCAGTTTGGTGGGGGCAGCTGCTGTGGATATCACAGTCGTCACGGTGCTAGACAAGGTCACTAAAGACATGGGTTTTTTGCGGTTAGGAGACATGATCACGGAGACGAAAATTTTAGTCATTTCAATGCAGGACCGCACACAAAGTTCTACAACACCGAACGACAAGTCTACGTGGGTTACATAACCTCCCACAATAGTAGAGTTTATGATGGCAACTGGTAAACAGCGCATTCGATGGAGCTACAGTTTATTCGATTTCCAACAAGGCACAAATTATTGACACGAACGGGAATCGATTGGTAGTAATCAAGGCGCCGATGGTGTGGTTTACGAAACGTGTAGTTACTGACAAAAAAGTTGAATTAGTGACAAGCAGCGCCGCGGACAGCAGCCTCGACAGTTTGGGGATGCAGACGTAACGCGAACAACCTGAGCGAGGGACTTGATCACAATAAGCCATTCACAGGACAAGGAAGCAGACAAGTCATACTGCTGGTGCTGCCGCCGCATGACAACGCTCGATCACCTCACGTTGCTCGCGCGACGCTGAAGGTCTTCTGCAAATTGGGATGGAAAGTTTGCAGTAGCTTGAGTTTTAGCACCACCTTACAACCCTCTAGTTAACAGACCGTAGCAACCCGAGAATGGATTGAAGAGAGGCGACCGTGAACACGACCGTTTATTAGCGTCACGCCAGTCAAGTGCGTGTAGGAGTGAACGGATGACAGGCGTCCGATGACAGCAGCCAATGAAAAGAGGATGAGTCACTGTCACCGTCGGGTCAGTAAACAGGATTCACTCAGGCGCGATCGCTGTCTATCAACTACAAGTCCTCCCACACTTGGAACCCATTCGACTGCTATTTATTCCTGCCAATGCTCCAGCGGTTCTAATCGCTAGAAGACGTGAGTGAATTAGTTGATGATGCCTTAGTACGCTACCTGAGTCATAGAAGACGTTGGACAATATTTTGCGATAAGGAAATTTGCTGAAAATTGTAAAAATTAAGTCATCCACCTAACATTATTAGGTGTTATGCTAAAGGAGTATTTAGCACCGCTTTCAACGTATAAAATTTGGTGTCGATCAACGCAATCCTAAGACAGGTTTACTGTTTTCGCTTGATTTTAGCGGCGAATTCATCGTGGGTGTGAAAATGTTATTACCGTTTTTTCGTGCAAGTTAAATTAAGCACGAACA